GGAGTTGAAGATTATATAATTGTAATTACTCTCTACATTATTTAGACTCCTTGAGATAGAATGTCTGGTAAAACTTTTGTTCTCAATATTGTTTGTTATATCTATTATTTATTATTATTGTTTATAGTTGTATTTAGGTTAGTTCTGTCTTATTTAGACAAAAGGAGGGAGATGTAGGGATAAGCCCTCCCCTTGGGGGCGGGCTGCCCTCAGGCGTTTGTTACCGATATATTGGGCGGGCAGAGGCTGCGCGCCCCTTCCCTTCCTCTCCTGTCTCCGCTGGCTACTCCGCTGGAACCTTGGTTTCGTGAGTCTGGTTTTGTTATTAAACGTGTTCAAATACCTTTTACTTTGGTGATTTATTAATCCGACCGCTGCAGCTCTACTTCTTAAACTGCAGAGTTCGATACAGACGCACAATAATTCAGTATTAGTACTTTGTCGTGTGTATCTTTAAGCAGACTTTGTCCATACTCTCTCTGTGTATGACTAACAGTGCAAAGGGCATTGGGTAGCAATCGCAGTCTGACAGCTGGCACTTGGCACCACAGAAGAGCTGAAGATCACGGTAGCTAGTCGGTGGAAATGCTAATTCTTGAGTAGTTTGCGGACGGGAACAGAATAGTAATCTACACTAGCAGAAGTATTTTCACAAAACATGAAGCTAATGGATTGGCTTATACTCTGGTTAACTGAGGCTGGCCTAGGCTGCTTCTCTGTTGCTGTGGGTAAAATAGTGACTCAAAGCAACTTGAGGAATTAGTTGGATTACAGATCACGGTCTATCATGGCAGGAAACCAAGGGAGAAACTCAAGACAGGAACCGAAGCAAAGGCCATGGAGGAACGCTGCTTACTGGCTTGCTGTCTGCTCTGCTCAGCTAGCTGCTCTAGAGAACCAGGCTCTCTTGCCCAAGAGTGGTACTGTCCACAGTAGAGCAGGCCCTCGTCCATCACTCAGCAGTCAAGAAAATGCCCCGTAGACAGCCAGTCTGATGGAGGTAATTTCTCACTGAGCTTCCCTCTTGCCAAGTGTGTCATGTTGACAACCAAGTATAGCCATTGCAGAGTCAAAGCTTAGAGATTAACATACAGCCAGACATACTTAAGTGATGTGACCGTTGGCTTTGAAGAAGGAAGGGGCCCCGAGTCAAGAAAGATAGGTGACTTCTAAAACTGTACAGGTATCATCCTGAGCGTCCAGAAAGAATGAAACTTGGTAGGCATTGACTTTAGGCTCCTAACATCCTTTTTTGTTTGTTTGTTTGTTTCTGATCTTTTAAACTGAAACAAATTTTTAAAAAATGTGTGCTGTTTTAAGCATCCATTTTTGGTCATCAGGGAGTGGTACGGGCAAGGGCTCCACAGAAGGCTTAGGAAGTATGACCTTGTTGGAGAAAGGGTGTGATTAGGGGTGCTCTTTGAGATTTCAAAAGCCCAAATCAGGCCTAGTGTTGTTCCCCCTAGCTTTGCCTCTCTAGTACCACGCCTGCCTGTGTTATGCTCCCCGCCAAGATGATCATGGATGAAGCCTCTGAAACTATAAGCAAGCCCCCGATTAAATGCTTTCCCTTGGAAGAGTTGCTGCAGTCATGGGTGTCTCTTCACAGCAGCAGAGCAGTGACTAAGATAGTTTCTGATTTCTTAAAATGACGCAAACAAGCTGGGTGATAGTGGCACACACCTTTAATCCCAGCACTCAGAGGACAGAGGCAGAAAGATCTCTGAGTCTGAGGCCAGCCTGGTGTACAGACAGAGTTCCAGGACAGCCAGGGCTACACAGAGAAACTCTGTCTTAAAAAGCAAAGAAAGAAAGAAATGAAAAAAAAAAAACCCTGTGTTTTGTTTTAAGCACTTATTTTTATAGCACTTAATTCCAGCAGCAATAGAAATTAATGTGACACAGATATTAATTTCCATTTCTTGACCAGGGCCACTTGGCTAGTAAGAGATGGGTCAGGAATCAGACCTAGATGTCTCGGACTTTCTGTTTATGTTCAAATTCCATAAACAAGGCAGAAATCATTGACAGTGAGATACTACCATCAGGGACTTGGTCTAAGGCCTGAGACATCTGAGGAAAGAATATGTCACTACAGAGATTCTTACATTAGTTTGGGGATCAAATCAGCCTCCCATACACAGTCATTCACAATCAGTGACCCCTAACTGCAGCCAAGGCCAAGAGCAAATTAAGTGAGAAAGGGAATATAGCATCTCTATTATATAGGGAATATAGCATCTCTCCAAGTCCTCTTCTGGGGCATTGTGGCCTACTCACCTCCTGGGAGCTTACATACTCAGCAACAGGTGATGCGCTTCGCTTGTGTAATGTTCATGTTCCTTTGCCAATGCTAACATTCCCATGACATCCTCCAAACACTTTATTGACACTCAGGCTTCATGCTGTCAAACTGGAGTGATTTAAAAGAAGGAGGAACCACAGCTTCTGGCGGGCTTGAGTCTGTCAAGAGCTGCCTTAGAGTGGCAGGACACGGAGAGCCACCTCGGGATGACAGACAAGTGGCCACCTTCTCCAGGGCGCGATCACTGCAGAGTCTTAAAAAGTAGTCTAATCAGGACGATTCTCAAGGTTGCTTTAAAAACTGGATTCACGAGGCTTCCCTCCCTTGCAGGCATTGCTCTTACTTCCTTCCCTACTGCAGTAAAGAGTATGCAGAGACCCATCACGTTCTTTTTGTTTGGGGGGAAAAGATATATTTTATTCTTTTCTGATTTCTAAAATGGTGCTTTTAACAAAGCAATTCAAAGTATAAGATTAGTGTCGGTGTTCACAATCCTTTTGCACTCCAAATAGACCAGTAGTTAGAGGAAAGGTAGGAAGGAAACTTCCGGAGCAAGCAAGCCTCGGTGGTTTGGAGATGGGCCTCGGGGAGTCAGACAAAATGGAGTTCACATCCAGATTCTTCCATTTCCTGGCTTCATGGCCTGTGGAAGCCATTTAAACGTCCTGGGTCTCAGGCTCCTCATCTCCAGAATGCAGTGGCTTCCTGGGGGAGCAGTCCCAGTGAAAGGCACTTCCGGTCAGAAAACAGAGAACCCAAATTTGCTTGGCACTTGATTGGCTTGAAATATTTTTCCTTAAACTGAAGCAAAATTGACCCTCTTTCCTTTGTATTATGCCTTTGGGGGACCCTGCTCATTCGCGTGACCTTCAGGCTCAGTCACGTGACCCTCCGCCTCCGGACTGAGAAAACTGTTTCTTGAAGAAAGGTACCTGGAGATCTGGAGATGAATACCTCGCAAGGGCCCTGACTTCTCCCAGCTGTCTGTGCTGTGCCTCTGTCACGTTCATCCTTGAACATCCGAGAGGAACCTGTGTATTTCCATCTTCTTATTGATTTTAATTTTCCCAATAATGCTAATAATCTTAATGATTTTAGTATTTTTTTCCTATCTGGCATTGTCTACTGATTTAAATTATTTTTGGAAGGAGATACAGTAGCCACTAAGTTACACAAATGCCTGTAACATACCATTTGAAGCTCAAAAGGGAAATGAACACTAAATGTACATTGTAACAAAACACGACCTTTTACGTCACTTTGGAAGTCATTTCCTTCACGTTCACTTACTCTGTTTCTCAGTCTCTATCCCTTTGGTCTTCCCTGAGAGCTACCTAATTCTTCATCTTCTGTACAACAGTCTTGGCGTTCATGGTTTATCCAGGACTGCTTTATGCAATCCAGGCTACCCTTTTCTGTTAAGTATCTGCCTGTGCCCGACATTGTTGACGCCAGTGGGAGTATTGTTACAAAGGTTAAAATAAAAGGAAAGTTGCAACACTTTGACCTAGTTTGTTGCCGCTCTGACTCTTCACCTGTCTTCAGCAGGATCTGTCTTCAGCCCTGTTTGTCACTCCCTGTCTTCTGACAGGGTCGCTGAGTGAGTGGCCCTCCCGATCCCTAAGGTTTCCACACCCAGGACAGTGAACAGGATTGAAGTGAACAGAAATTTGGACCTGCACAGAGAGCCAGCTCATTTACCAAAGTCTTAAAGGGGAGAGAGGAGGAGAGGGTGAAGATAAGAAACACTAATTTCTAGTTCTTGCCCTTGGGTCACAGTGCCATTATATTACATAATGCTGCTTTTAGTTTGCTAAATTTTTTTGTTTTGGATTTTTCCTTTATGTTCATGATTACTCTGTCCTAAATTCTTAATTTCCAACAGTATCCTTACAAGACTTTTTTCTCCAGGTTACGTTAGCCTTTTAAAATATGATGGACACTGCTTTCTCTTTGTTCTCTACCAGTTTGAATAAAACAAGGCTTATTTTTTTTCCCTTGAATATTTGCTAGAGTTCACCAGATGAGTGCCCTGGTCCCGTAGCTTTCAGGGGGGTGTTCTGTCACTTTAAAGACTGTTGCTGGCTTTGCACTTTTAAAATTTAACTTGAACTGCTGAGGTAAGCTTGAAGGTGTTACTTTAGTAAGCACAGATGGACAAGAGTCGCAGAGGAAGGACCTTTCCCCTAGATTGCAGTAGCTTCACTTCACTTAACTGCAGTGCCTGTCACCAACAGGAACTGACGTTGAAGCTATGTGAGGATATAATTCGGAGTGCTCCCATTAGGTTACCTCTCTGTGGAACCACAGGGGCAGCTAAGGTGCAGGACCATTCTGTCACCAGGAAGAGTGCCCCATGCTGCACTCTGATACAGTTGCTCCCTTCCACTTTTCTTTTGCCCACCACACGCGACTGCAGGTGGTCACTGGACTATGTACTGTTAACATAGCTATGTCCTTTTAAAACTGCGTTGTAAACTTAGGACCCCAGACTCAGATGATTCCATCCGAATCTAACCCACAGCCTTCCTTCCTTCCTGCAGACCAGACTCCACGGCTGCCTAAGGAGGGAAGCAATCAATGGTTTTTTTATACAGCGGGATGTACATGAAAGACAGCAATGACCAGCACGGCAAGATAGCCCTAAAGGTACAAAAGTCTCACTCATATATTGGCCGTCACCAAAGCTGTCTTGTGAGACTTAAGGCCACTCAACAGGAGGGAAATCACAGATGGTACTAGAAGTTTCGCCAACTACCCAGAGCTGCTGAGGCGTGGAGTTTAGAAGAGAATCGACTACGAACACTTGCTGGATCAGCAAGATTCTTTCCTACATTCTAAACTGTTTCCTTATACCCACAGGCAAGCGTAGTTCTTACCCCTCTTCAAAAAAGCCTCTCTTCGACCTTGGAACACTCGGTTCTAAATGGGTCATCTTCATCAAACGCCTCCTCTCAGAGCTCAGGGAAGAGGAGTAGGGAGGATTGGAAGAGCCAGAGGGATGGAGGACACCAAGGTGACAGTGTCCTCCAGACGCTACAGGACAACGGCACACACAAACTCACAGACACTATGGCAGCATGCACAAGCCTGTGCAGGTCTAAGTCAGGTGGCGTCCAAGCAGTAAGCTGGGGAAGTGGATACTATCTCCTATCCCCAACCAAGACTCTGTCTCCAGTTGACATCCCTTTGCAAAGGAAAAATCAGTGTTCTACAGTAGAGTCTCACTGGGTATATAAGGCACACTTCTGAGTAGGTCCATGGCCCCAAAGCAAACTCAATGGTAATTTTGGAAACGTATTGTCTCATATCTTTGGGCTTTATTTATCCTTAGAGACCTTTGGCTTATATATTATAGGTTCCCATTTTGTGCTTTTATGGGTTTTGTTTTGTGTTTACCCCTTTTGGTGTTATTAATTTAAAACTTTGGCTATTGCTAGATGTGTTTGGTGATTTTACTATGATCTGCATTTGTGTTTCCTCTTGTGCATGGTTAATACCAGTTTGACATCTGCATTTCCTCTTAGCCACGTCTCCCGGGTGCCCTGCTCATTTCTCATGAGAGCTTTTCTTTTCAAGTGTTGAGTCTTAAGACGTCTTTGTGTTCCTCTGTCTGTGTGTGTGTGTGGTCTTGAGGATGAGCAGAGGACCTCCTTGGGTGAGGTGAACACCCCAACATTGTGCTTTCTAAGCCTTTATATATTCTGTTCACAACTGCTTCTCAGATATGCGATTTGCAAACATTGCTTGTATTTGCCTTTTCTTCATCTTGTTTATTCATTTAAAAAATTATTATTCCTTTTTTTGTGCCACTAGGGATGAAACACATGGCCTTATGCATGCCAGGCAATCTGTGTGTCGCTGAGTTACATCCCCAGGCTGGTCACATCTTAATGACGTCTGTTGTTGAACAGAATCGTACCATTTTGATCAGCTTCAATTTATCAGCTGTTCTTTTTATGGATCATATTTTGGTATTTAGCCTCAAAATACTCAAGTTGTAGCCCTGGAGATTTCCTCCTTCTCTTCCTTATAATTGCTATAATTTTGTATTTCACATCTATTTTCCATTCTGAATTAATTTTTGAAAGAAGTATAAGATTTAGTCATCTTTCTGCTGTTCTCCGTCCCTCTTCTTTCTTTCTTCCTTTCTTTCTTTCTTTCTTTCTTTCTTTCTTTCTTTCTTTCTTCCCCTTCCCATCACTCATAAACATACCATTGTTTTGGTTCCATAAAGAAATGTTTGTTTCAATTTATGAATATTAGATCACTATCATATTTGTCTTCTAAAATGCCACAACACACACACACACACACACACACACACACACACACACACCGGCTATAATATAATCCATCTTTTGTTCCTATGACAGATGACCCTAATACCTTAGTCCCAGCCCTTGAGACTAAAACTCTCAACCTCATATTCCTAAATATTGTTACAACACTGTGTGTGTGTGTGTGTGTGTTCCCAAACCCTCAAAGACAACCTTCTCAGTCTGTCTGATGTATGCCTCGGGGCTGATCGTTTGGTATTAGATAGCCAACTGGCGTGCTCTTCCCTGAGGAAGGCCGATTCTCCCGCTCTCAACCATCCTTAGTTATCTGTGGTTCTTTGTGTAGAGTTAAGAACAAAACTTTGTTTGCTTACCTAGATAGGGAGGGAGAAGGAGGAGAAGGAGAAAGCGGCGTCCTGCCCTAGTTTGTTCAGATAGGCTCTGTGTTGGGAAGTGTCCACAACACTGAGCCGAAATGGTGCTGAGGCGAATCTTGGGAATTGGCTGAAGCGAAATCTTAAGTTCTGGACTTAAGATGGATCTTGTCCTGACCATGTGTGTGTCCTTTCAAATTCCTCTGAATACAGAGAAACTAAATGAATTTGCCTTTCTGTTGTTGCTGCTTGATGCCGATGAATGTTGGAGGCGGAAGGGGAGGAGCTAGTGGTGGAGGCCGCAGGGGAGGAAGGGGAGGAGCTAGGGTCTCAGGCAGCCAAGGCTGTCCTGGATCTCCTGGCATCCGTTCTCCTGCCTCCGTCCCTAAAATGCTGAGATTCAAGACATACCCCCACCACACCTGCCTCTGAATTTACTTTCTGGATTCCCCATTTTTCAAACACAATTCTCTCCTGGACCTTTCCTCCCCGTCCCGAAGTGGTCCATTGTGATTTCCAAGTGCAACCTTGCCCTAGGCAGCTCCAGGTTTCTACCCTCTGATGTTCTGAGCAAAGCCTTTTTCTAGCCTAGGTAAGTTCCAAATTAGGAAAGCAGAGGAAGAAAAAAAAAAAAAAAGCCCATTGCCTCAGCCCTTCAGGCAGCCCCCAGGCAGAGTAGGGAAGAAATGCTCGGCCCTCTCAGAGCCAGGGATGAAGATCCCACAGCGGGCTGCTGTCCTCCAAACCATCCCTGAGCAAGGGAGGATGGAAACACCGCCCTGACTTTCCCAGTGGTTTTAAGTTGGCTTGTGTTTATGCGGCGTTTCCTTGCTTGTTGCTTTCCAGAGTTCTCACAAGGCTGGTGATGGCGGTGGGTGGAAGAGGGCTCGCAACCTCCTGCTGTCTGTTTAGCTGTCGTTCCTGAAGTGACCTTCCGAAGGGCTTAACGTACGTTTTCCCTTCAGTGCGTTGAGATGGCTTGAGATGGCGTCTATTGGGTGTTACCCCAGCGGGAGAGCGGTTTCCATCCACTTCCTGTTCCGGCAGGCATTCGTGTCTGTGCCTTTTAACCTGGCTCCGACACACAGGCCAGCTTTGCCCGGTCCCACCCGACAGGACAGTTCAGCCTTCACTACAACACCGAACCCTCTCACACACATTACTGCCTGTGTGTCTGATGCAAAAGCTGCAGCCCTTGTAGAGATTGCCACTTGTCTCTTCTCCTCTTTCTCTTCCTTCTTAAAATATTTTGTCATTGTTCTTCTATTCTAATTTGAAAATAACATTTTCTATTGATATCCTTTTAGCTCTTGCCTTGGAAACCACAGAAGAGTGCTTGCCCTATTGATCCACGCGAGATTTCATCTCAGCCTCACGGGATTTGTCACTCATTCTGTTTACTTACAGCAAATTATTTGACAAAAGCCAAGATTACTTCGATTTTGTTAGTTCCAACTCACCCTGCTATGTCTGAGGTTCAGCTGTCCAAAGTCCAGGGGGAACCTTTTGAAGTACAAGACAAATAATGATCGGTCTCCTAATCTTTTGCCAAAAAAAAAAAAAAAAAAGCAAACTGACATTCAAGGTCATTAGCACTGAAAAGAATATGTATATTTGATATTATAAATATTGTAATTATTTCCAAGTAATTGAGATACAAACCCGCTGCATTAACAGAATACCACAGACAGCTGGTTTAGCCACAAAGTGCTCTGGAGCCTGCAAGTGCAAGAACAATGTGCCTTCAAGGTTGGTTTCTTCTGACGTCATTCTCTGTGGCTTTTTCATGGCATGGCACAAGGCCCACTTCTCTGCATATCCGTCTGTAGGTACTAACATCTTCTTTTAGAAAGAGCACCCGTCACAGTGAGTACCAATCATAAAGGCCCGACATTAGCTTAACTGTCTCTTTGAAAGACCACATCTACTAACGAGCCAACCTGAGATGCTGTTTCTATGGCAACAGTACTGAGTCTGAATGCAAAAGGTGGTTATAACTTGGTGTCTCTTTGTTGATTGTTAACAAGGTTAAGTAATTTAAAGTCAATCAGTTTATAATAAAACAGGCAAAGATGTCAACACAATTGCTTACCTGAGCCACCATCATGGGCTAAGTATGGGACAGGATTAATAAAAATTAGCTGTGGTAGCCTAGTGAAATATATGCTTGCGAGCAGGAAGATGTTTGATGTCAACCCATCTCAAAAAAAAAAAAGTGTCCCTAGTTTGCTCTCTGTTTTGTGATAAACCATGGCCCAAAGCAGCTTCGGGGAGGAAAGGGTTTATTTGGCCTACACTTGCAGGTCACGGTCCATCACTGAGAGAGGTCAGCGCAGGAACTCAAGAAGACGCAGAGGTGGAGCCATGGAGGAAGGTATCCAGTGCTTGCTCCCAGGTCCATATTCAGCTACAATTTTTACACAGTCCAGGTGCATGTGTGTGTGTGTGTGGGGGGGGGACCCACAGTGTGCCAGACACTCCCACATGGAGCGTCCCTCGAGACAATCTGTCACAGGGCTGGCCACAGGCCAATCTGAATGAGGTAGTTTTTCAGTTGTTTCAATACCTGTGCTTGTGGCTGTGCGGTCACTGAGGTGTGACTCACTCTCAGCGCCTACCAGGCCACCTCCATCCATGCTTCTGGACAAGAGATTCCATCATGTGGCTTTACCTGGGACATTTGACCATACACCTGTTCAGCCCAGACAGGCTACTGACAACAGATCAAAGAAGCAATGTCACCCTTGTCTGGCTGGATAAACCAATAAGTTGAGAGGTGGATTATCTATCTGTGTGGGTGTGGGTGACTTAAAGGCAGCTGTGTGACCAAAAGATCCACCCCAGCATGCGTAACACCAAAGGCTGCACCTGCAGATCTCCCCACCTGACTCACAGGCAGCTCTACTGAAGAGGCCCCACTCCCATAGCAATTGTTCCCTGATCACGTAACCTTGGGGTGGGGACTTACAACCCTCTGAACTTCCGGAACCCCAACACTTCATCTGTTTCTGGGCTTTTAGATGCTTTCCTCTTTCCTCCGGGAGAAAATGTCTCAATTCAGAGGAAATAACCGCACAGAGGAAATACTCACGGCTGTCATGCATCGCTGGTGGCCACAGCAATGTACCCAGCAGCAGACAATAGTGTGACTGCTAAAACCAAAGAACTGCTATCCCATTCCCCAGGACTGACTCTTTTACATATATCGTGGCTCACAATCCTCTCAATAACAGCCCTGTGAGAAAAAGGCTATCTTCTTCATTGTATAAACATAGGAAGAGGTGTAAGCATCTTGCCCATATTCCTGTCTCCTTTGGCTGGTTCCCAAGCCCCAGCTTCTGCCTTCCATAGCCTTGACTGCTGTGCTCCCTGATAAGAGGGCATGCCCAGAGGCAGCATTTGCTGCTCTGGGCAGCTACTTCAGCTTCCACACAATGCAAGGAAGGTGGGGACTCTGAGCCAACTCCTCTGTCTGTGCTTGCACACACATCTTAAAGAGCGGATTTGAGCAGAAGTCAACCTCAACAGCCTCCTGCTTTTCCTTCTTCTTTCTTCCTTTGTTTTCTAATTAATCACATGTGCTGCGACTTGAAAGTGTACCCTGGTTTCTAGAGCACCCACCTCCTGCACAGGCTTGTTCCAGTGGCACCAGGCTGGATGAATAGGGCCTTATTATCTGGATTTCTACTCAGTGAGCAAAGTAAATGCGATTTGCTTTGCACAGAGTCCGCGGCTATGGCAGCTTGTTGGCAATGAATGTACAAGAGGAGTGTTGTGTGTTGACAGGTCACGGACTTCCGTGGAGCCCGCCCGACTCCGGAACAAATTGGAAACAAATTATAAACTTATCAAGAGTGCAAAAGAATGCTATTCAAAATGAGAAACATTTTATCAAGTTGGCATCCGGAAGGAAAGTCCCAGAAGTAAAAGGTAGCATTCAAAGAAATTACTGATACTGGCCCCAAGACTGATCAAAGTTTTAACACTGATGGGTTGGGGAGGGTAAAGGGTTTATGAAGAACTTTTGTTTTTAAATTTCTGAATATTTGTTGTTTTTGATTTTAAGCTCAGAACGTGCTAGTCTCTAGGTCTGTCCTATTGACGGTGTGTGAGGCAGGAATCATGGGATTGATGCCCCAGCGCTTGTTAAGCCTTGGGGTGGGGTAAGGGCTCAGAACTGTCAATTCAGGTTTGACCAGGTCTCCAGGGGATTTCTGTGCAGTGGCCTCCCCCTGACAAATGATAGCGGTGGCTAGGGAGGCCTTGCTGCTTCTTTTCTGTGGGCAGGGGACTGGTGGGTATGGTGGGGTCCTTCCTAGAAGAGCTTGGGTAGGTGAGGCCAGGATCCAGACTAAACAAAAGGACACATGGTACCTAAACTGTGACTCATGTCTGGGGCATGTTGAATTACCTCCTTTCCCTGAGAAAGAAGGCTGATGAAATCCCACAGCCAGTTCCTGTAAATTGAACCCTGTAGCCTCAACTCATGTTCTGTTAAACTCTTTTGTCAACTTGACCCTTCTGAGAATCTCAATAGAGAAACCATCTCCTGCAAATTGGTCAGCGGGCAGCTTTTGACTGCTCATTGAAGTGGGAAGTCTCGGCCCACCATGGGCAGTGCCACCACTGGGCAGGGGGTCTTGAGTGGTATAATAAAGCAAGCTGAGCAAGCTATGGGGATTGAGCCAGCGAGCAGTGTTTCTCTGTGTTCTCTGCTTCAGTTTCTGTCTCCAGGCTCCTGCCTAGACACCCTTTCCTTCCCAAGTTGCTCTGGGCGACAGTGTTTATCAGAACACTCTAACAATAGGTAGCTTTAATACCCATCTGCTGTTTCCTCATTCCAAGCCCTTCTTTATAATTTTATTAAAATTTCCTCAATGCTTCTGTTTTACTAACAATATTTCCATATTTTCCCGCACTGCTGCAGGGCTTATGTAAAAAGATGCATATTTGGTATGTTTGTGTGTGATTGTGTCGCGGGCAGGAAAAAGATGCCAACTGGCCTTCTGAGATCCAGTTTGTTAGCCAAGAATAGAGTCAAAACTTTCTTGCCATTTTTAAATTCCAAACTCGGTTTTCAGAAACAAGACCCGTTCTTGAATTATAGAATTACTATCTATAACTGCTTATACATGAGAAACCAAGTGGGGTTGAGGAACATATACGATTGTTTAAATTCGGGATCCCGTGAAACAGGGAAGTGGATAGTTATCGGTAGATTGTTCCAGTAGAACTGAACTTAGAACGGATCCTCTGCACACCAAAACACAAGCTACTCGCTAAAGCAGTGATTATCCAGATTGCTGGTAATTAAAAGCCGAAGAGATTGACTCAGAGCCTGAAGTTCTGCTTTGTGCTTCGAGGCTTGGGGGACCATGTCTCCAAAAGGGGAAGAAGACTTGGTTTAGGGCTTGTCTGTAGAGTGCTTGCCGAGCATGTGTGAGGACCTAGGTGGGATTCCCAATACCCTCCACCCCAGAAGTAAGCATCCACATTCAGAAAGGGGGCCGTTGTCAGCAGGTTTGCCAGGACTGTGACAAGGAAGGATGGAAATAGCTTTTTTTGTTGTGTGTTTACTTTTGAGAGTCTATTTTAATTCCACTTCTCTCTTCCACTTCCTCCCTCCACACCTCCACATCGACTCTGTGCTTGATCTGCTTCAAATTCACAGCCTCTTTTTTTCATACGCTGCCATTGCGTGCATATATGTATGTGGATATGTATACGCACTCCCCGTATACCCTGTGAAGTCCGTATGTTACTTATATGTATTAACAGGGCTTATGATTTAGCGCTAGACAACCGACTGGCGTGCTCTTCCCCGGGGAGGCCACCTCTCCTCTCCCCGCTTTCCTCGGTGGCCTGTAGATTTTTGTGTAAGATTGAGGTCTCTTGGGAAATGCATTTGGTCTTTACTGCTGCAGTTTCAATGTAAAGGCCTTTTCCAAAGGCCTCTGGGTTTAAGGCCGGGTCTCTACAGCAGGTGGTGGACCCCATAAGAGGCGGAGCCTAGTGGGCAGGGCTGTTGGGGGTGTGACCCTGAACACTGGACCCTCCGCTGCATCGCTGCCAGCATGTGAACAGCTGTCGGCACATGCTGCAGCCATGTTGTTGCTGCCTCCGAGGCCCCAGAGCAGTGACTGAGCGACCATGCACTGTACCCCTCCAAAACTCTGCTCCCAACTTTCCCCCTTAAAGTTGATCAGCTCTGGTAATGGCTACAGTGACGGAAAACTGACCAGCAGGCTCTCCGTTCTTTGATCCGTGGCCAACACACAACAACAAGGTCGCTGGAGTGTCTCAACACCGTCCTGCCTGTCACAATGTATTCCAACCAAGTTCACAATAAAAATCTAGCCTAGACCCATTTCTCTTCAGTGCAAGCTCAAATAATTCAAGAGCTGGCTCCTCGCTCTCACCGTCTCCCAAACCGTTGGTGACTTTTGCTGTGTGAGAAACTCCCCGCACTTTATGGCTTCTTGTAACCAGTAATTGTTTTCCATGTCTGTGATCTGATTCTCGGGGACGGTCTCGTTCCTAGATCAGGCTTTCTAGTAACGGGGCAGATATTTGATCTCACTCTCCGGGAGCACTTCTCTTCCAGGTGCTCTGAGTTTCCGAGGCAATGATGTCAATAAAAGATGGCGAGTGAGACCAATTTTATTGACTCTCTGTGATGACTAGGATAAATTTTAGTATCAGGGAGCATCTTAAATTATTTGCTGATCACAACAGTTCCCATGTTATAACTTTAGAAAATAGTCTGAATTTTTAAAATCCTTCTGGAGGCAGTTACTCTCCCTTATCGTGGCATTTCTGCTCTTTAGAACAGAAGTGGGGTTCCCTTAGCCTCTCTCAGTATGGGTTGCCCCTTAGTCTTCAGGAAAAGCATAGCCAGAGTGTTGGCTTCACCTCTGTCCTTTCTCCAGGGCATGGGGACACAGTAAGCTGTCAAACCTGCACGGTTTTGCCCCAAGTTCTGATACTGATTTAAGAAAGAAGCTTTATCAGATTGCTCCCAAGGGGGCCATCTGGTCTTTCAGGAGTCTCTACCGGTATGGAAGGGAGACAATTCTTGTCTTTTATGAACTCCTGTGGAATCTCCACCTCACCCCACCATACACCTTCGAGCCTTCCTAGAGCTGCTAGAGTCTAGAACCATCTCCCATGTGGCCGCGCCCTTAGAGAGCCCTTTCTGTAGTGCACAGAACTACACTTGTTCACTGCAGAACAAGGGCGCTCCCTCTCGTTCAGTTTCCTTCCAGGAGCTTCTGGAGAGCCTTCGGCTGTTTCGATAGGTGTTTAGAAATTAGGCCTTCCCTGTTTTCCAGCAGTAGCGGTGATGACCTCAGCGAATATCCGTTAGCTACACAAAGTCCAGTGGCGGCTCTGACGGCCAGTTTGTCTTCCGTTTGCACAACCCAGTTCTTGGACACTAATCTTGTAAACAGATAAACAGGTCAGAGGGTTGTTTTTCTCTGTCTGGAGTACTCCCTGGAGGCTGAAGAAGTGTGTTCTCTTCTCTACGTGGATGGTTTCCAAACAGTTACAAAAGCTATTTGCTCTATTGTGTTTTCCTAAAGGAAGAGTATAATCTGAATGAGAATTTGATGCAATCAAACGAGTCCTTACGGTTTGCTCCTGTCACTTTTAGTCAGGATGGTTTTCCTTACAGCCGTCCTGCCTGCAGAGGTGGGACTCTGGTCTCAGGAGCACACCCTTTGACGTCAGATGTTCACTTCATATTTACAAAGAAATTTGACATGTTCACTCTGTGAGACCTAATCCCCTACAACAGTGGATTTATGTAGAAACAAAGCAAAACATACATCACATCATCCCCTGACACACATACCCAGCCCCGCCCTGCACCTTTTTAAATTAAAAAAAAAAGAAAGAAAAACTGGGAGAGGATGTACACCCCTTTAACCCCAGCACTTAGGAGGCAGAGGCAGACAGATCTGTGAGTTCCAGGACAGCCTTGTCTACAGAGTGAGTTCCAGGACAGCCAGGGCTACACAGAGAAACCCTGTCTCGAAAAACAAAACAAACAAAACAAACAACTAAGAAAAAAGAAAAAAGCAGATTGTCAGGCTCCTTTGAGGGCTGGCTGTGATGAAGTGACACCTGCTGGCAAAAACGGGTACTGCATGCTAGCCCTACTGCATACTCCCTATGAAGAGAACCTCACTTTCCTTTTCATTAATCCTTTTATATAGTTTGGTTTATATATATTTCGTTTTTTCTTTAATCCACAATTTTCATTTTCTTCATAATAGCGTGACAAACTAAAAGTGTACTGTTAATATCATATCAACATCCATAAGGTGAAAATCAAAGTGATTTTCTATGCTGTTTCTAGTACTGGTTTGTTATAATTACTGCATTTTGTATTTGCCAATTACGTAGCTATTTGGAATCGTGAAATTCTACTGTGTGTGTAATTTTTGTGTTGTTGTATATTCATTGGGCACGGTACTTGGTTACGCAGGATGTTTTCATGCATGCGTGTGTGTGTGTATGTGTGTGTCTGTGTGTGTGTGTCTGCGTGTGTGTGTGTCTGCGTGTTTCTCTTCTCATGTCTACCTTCCCTCATTTTTCCCATTCCTCATAGTGTTAGTCCCTTGTCCCCCTGACAGTTTTACTTATAACGCAATGCTGATTTTCCATATCAGTGGGAAAATCTGGCCCTGGCAAGTGGGCTAACATGCAGCGTTTGTCCTTCTGACTTAATTTGCTTCCATTTGTGTCTGTTTTCCTGTGAATGGCGGGACTTTACTATTTTTGAGACAATGTAGCACAGACTGGCCACGAACTCGCTATGCGGTGAAGGGTGGCCTTGAATGTCTGACCTCCTGTCTTCACCTCCGTCTTGTTGAAATACTCCTTCAATTCACAGTCTTTTTTTTTTCCACGAAGGGTTGTTGGAGTCTTTGAAAGCCTTTTCTCCATATATTGAGACGGTCATATGGTTTCTGTCCTTGAGTCCACGTATGAACGCACTACATTTATTGGGTTTTATATGCTAGGTCATTTCTGCATTTCTAAATGGTATCTTTTGATGTACTCTGTGCTGACTACTTTTGTGTCGGCTCAACGCCAGCTAGAATCATCTGGAAGTAGAGAACCTCAGCTGAGACCATTCCTCCACTGATTGGCCTTTACACAAACCTGGGTAACATCTTCTTGATTAGTATTTGATGTGGGAAAGCCCAGTCCACTAAGGGTTGTCATTCAGTCCTGGGTGCTATAATAAAACAAGCAAGCCGTGAGGAACAAGTCAGTGAGCAGCACCCGTCCATGTTCTCCGTTCTCGTTCCTACTGCAGCTTTCCTCAGTGCCGGGTTTGTAAGCTAGAGGTGAAATCAACCCTTTCCTCTCTAGGTTGATGCTGACCATGGCGCTTTACCGCAGCAATAGACATCCTCACCGGGACATCCTCCTAACTTCCGTCTGCAAGTACTTTGTGAGAACTGTGTATCGGTGGTTGTTAAGGAGATTGGCTGTAAGCTTCTTTTTTCTGCGTGTCTCATCTGGTTTCGGAATCAGGGTATAATACCCATTTCATCTTTGGATGAAATGGTATAATTATGATTATCAGTGAATCCATCCGGAAGCCCTTGCCTTAATGAGTCTTAAGGTTCTCAATCGATTCCTCTGATCAAGTTTGGCTCCATAAACAGGGTTGAAGGTGGGTGACAGTGTTGGTTAGAAAGTTCATTTTTATTCCTTTCTTTCCACGAGTCATTAGCTGGTCCTTTAGAAGGGAACAAAGCAATGTGTGCACACACTGACACACAGACCTCTCTCTCTCTCTCTCTCTCTCACACACACGCATGCACGCACACACGCACGCACACACACACACACACACACACACACACACACACACACTAGGGAACATGTTATCTAGATCCTCTCTTCCCCTCCTCTCCTCACTGCACGCCACTCCCCAAAGGAGAGTGATATCTGGGGACCAAAATCCACTGGAGTCCTTGCTCCTGGTGGAGATCATTGTGAGTGAGAGGCGAGCGAGCGATCTGTTAGCCGGCCTTGCCGCCCTTCTTAACTCTGGTGAGTCCCTAGGTTATGGGATGAAGGTAGAGGCAAACACACTAATGCCGTTCTAACTTTACAGGAGAAACATACACATATAAAAAGAGTGTCCGTGTGCTAGGGCTGGCATTACAGAGTTTCACAAACAAGTAGCTTGAACAAGGGAAATGTGGCACACCAAATCCCGGAGGCTTGAGGCCCTAGATCATGGTGTCACTGGGCAGCTTCCTTCACTACACAGGAGAATTGGTCCCTTGCTATCTGCTAACTTCCCAGGGTTTGCTGAAAATCCTCAGTGTTCCTTGGTCTTTATTAATATCATCCGGAACTCCACCTTCTGGTTCAGAGTTTTAGATGGCTTGCTCCCTTTTGTGTGTGTCTTTTCACAGACCATTCTTTAATAAGGGTGTTGATCAGTGGATTAAATGCCTACCTGTAGCACCAATTCTAATTGATCTTAATAATAAAGACCCAGAATCAGAAATTAGGGGGTGGAAGCTGAAAGCTCAGAAAAGCAGAGCAGCCAGTCTCTAGGTCTTACCACTACAAAATCCTCAGACTGAATGAGTTATCCTGTCATTAGGATGAATGTGGTGAGCTCCTGTCTCCTCCTGACTTATATTCCTCTCTCCACCCAGCCATACTCTTGTTGTCCCCATCTCCCTAGAACTGGGATTAAAAGTGTGTGACTCCCAAGTACTGAGATTAAAGGTGTGAACCGCCACCACCTGGCTTGGATTCTCTCTGAGACTGGAGCAATTAGTGTAGCCCAGGGTGGCCTTGAACTCACAGAGAGCCAACTGCCTTTGCTTCCCCAAAGCTGGTACTAAAGGTGTGTGCCACCACTGTCTATCCTCTACGGCTAACTAAGTGGCTAGCTCTGCACTCTGAGCATCGGGAAAGCTTTATTTGTTAAAGCACAAACAAAACATCACCACACCTCCCCTATTTCCTTATGTCTACATATTATTGGATTGTGTCTGCAAATGACATAGAGGCTGGCCAAAGCAGGAAGGGTTCAAAGAGAAAAACTTTAGTTAAGAAAATATATAAACATCAGGAATTTATAGAAAGTACACATGCCTAGAAATAGGATCAATAATCATCCAACTGGGATTTGTGTTTCAAGAAAAAATAATTTAAACTGCAACTGTTACATCTAACCTTCTCACCTATAACCTGAAGTGACAAAGAGGAGGACAGAAGAAGAAGCTGAAAGAGGAGGAGGAGGAAGAGAAGAAGAAGAAGAAGAAGAAGAAGAAGAAGAAGAAGAGGAGGAGGAGGAGGAGGAGGAGGAGGAGGAGGAGGAGGAGGAGGAGGAGAAGAAGAAGAAGAAGAAGAAGAAGAAGAAGAAGAAGAAGAAGAAGAAGAAGAAGAAGAAGAAGAAGAAGAAGAAGTTGTTTATGCTTGCGGTTAATTATTGTTAAATTGACACAAACTGCAGAATCATCTGTGAAGAGGGACCCGAGTTGAGGAATTGTGTCCTCCACATTGGCCTGTGGGCATGAGAGGGTTCTCTTGATTGATAGTTGAAGTGGGAGGGCCGAGCCCGTTGTGGACAGATAGTCGAGGTTGTATAAGAAAGCAGGCCGTGAGAAGCAGCTAGGAAGCATCATCCCTCCGCGCTTCCTGCTGTAGTTTCGACCTCCAGGACCTGCTTTGAGCTTCTGCCCCAGCTTCCCTTGATAATGGACTCTCACCTGTAAGCCAAATAAACCCTTCCCTCCCCCAAGCTGCTTTTGGTCTTGGTGTTTATCACAGTACAAAGTTCAAACTGGAACAATTCCTTACCAAGCAAGTGAGCTGTGCAAGCTTACATCATACGGCCCAGACTTAGTGCAGAGTCCGCAAAGGAAAGCTTTCAAAGTGACTCTTTGTAGTGTAGTGCACCTGCTTGATTATGGCTCTGCCATAAAAGCTTGCTTAGTCTTGTCTCTGGATGCTTTCTTTCCTCCCCCCCCCCCCCGCTTTCTTTTCCAACGCACTATGTGTTAGACGTGTAGTGACCTCCTTGCCTGTGTCTCCCGGGTGCAGTTTACAGAAGTGTGCCACCATCTTGCTTTTCTATGATGCACTAGAAACCTAGAGGCACTGGGAGAAAGGTCTCCATAGAGTCTGTCTATCTCTCCTTCAAACCCCTCCAACCTTCTCTGCCGGCATCACGATGGCTCTGTTTCCTGACACACTCGACCCTTTTGTTACTGTGTTGTTATTTTCAGTTGACACATAGTAATTGCATGTGGTATGTGTGACATTTCAGTGCACGTATGCAATGTGTGATAATCAGGTCAGGGTAAGTGTTCTATAGTCATATATGGCCAAATAAGTTGATGGCATTGGAACGGGGCGGGGTGGACAGAACATCATCTCACTCGGGATTCAGCTGTGCCCTGCTGAGTTTAAGATATCACATGTCACCTAGGCATCCTCCAGTCCAAACCACAGCAAGGTTCTATCCTACTCTTGATCATTTATTTCCTAATTTTATTCGATAGATTCTCTAACTCCTTCCCTTTCAGATAGGTGCTATCTTCCTTCACTCATGATTCAACTGATCCTAATATTTTTGTATTATATATTATAAACTATATATTTTAAAATCTGAGCCATGCTATGTATTTATCAGCCTTTACTATGTATAATTAATAGACGCCCGGAACGGAACTTTACCCGGTAAGCCACTGCCATGTGGTGATATAGAGATTAATAGAAATGGGTTAAATTAATATGTAAGAGTTAACCAATAAGAAGCTAGAGCTAATGGGCCAAGCAGTGATTTAAATAATATGGTTTTTGTGTGATTATTTTAGGTTTAAATTAGCCAGGCAGCCTGGAAGAACAAGCAGCCTCCTCCAACACAAATCGGTAAGGAAAAGGATGACAAAAGGAAGAACAAAACGAGCAAAGGGTTTGCACAAGCAAGTCACTACAAGGAAGCCCCATGGCTACCACACAGTTGAATAAAGACGGTTTCAAGTCTGCAATTTTGACAAAGAAGGAGGATGTCTAAAGAGTGGCAGACATGTGCACAAGTGCTCTTTGTGACAAGCCTGAACATTGGGCTTACCTGCCTAGACAAAAGAGCACTAGGCATTGTTAGAGCTGACCAATGACTATGAGGTGTAAGAGGCTCACTCCCTCCTGTCACTGGTATAGAGCCGAGACCCTGACATGTGCTCAACACTTAAGACAACTTAAATTTCCGTGAGCAGAAAAGCAAGTAAGGGGATTATAGAATCGTTTCCAAACAACAGAGTGCTGTATACTAGTTAAAATAAGGAAAATAGATGTATTCCATGGATACATGAAAGAGAAATCTTACAGATGATATTAAGGGGGGAAGTAAATGGCAGAAGAATTGCAAGGCATGCCTGGGGCATCGCACACCTCTGAGGTTTGGTGGGATGGGAAAGAGACATGAGAAAATTCTGAATGATGCTTCAATGTTATCACGTTTGTTTTATAACCTGAAACATGAAACAAAGATAATAAGCATTGGCAAAGATGAGGAAGACACATACATAATGTATTATTTTATAAAAAATAAAACAAACTATCCTTTTTCATTTTACAGACCAATTCCAGTTCCCACTTCCTCCCCTCCTCCCATTTCCTCCACCTTCCCCTCCATCCTATCCCCCATCCACTCTCTAGAGAGGATAAGGCACATTGCTCCAAGGAAGGATCAAGGCCCACCCCACTATATCCAGGCTGAGCAAGGTATCCATCCAAAGAGAATGGGTTCTAAAAAGCCAGTACAAGCAGCGGGGACAAATCCTGGTGCCACTGCCAGTGACCCCGCCAGTCTGAAAACCGTTCTGAATGAGGTAATCCAGACCAAGAAAGATGAGCATGGTATGCACCCACTCATAAGTGGATACTATTTGTAAAGCAAAGGATAATGAGTCCATGACCTTAGAGAAGCTAAGTAACAAGGTGAACCCTAAGATAAACATATATAGATCCCCCTGGGAAGGGGAAATAGTCAAGACTGCCTGACAAAATTGGGAGCATGGGAGTGGAAGGAGAAGGAAGGGTGGAAGGGGAGGAGGAGGGGGAGGGTAACTTGCAGAAATGGGATAGTTGAGATAGGGGACGGACAGAGATGGAGAGCAAGGAAAGAGATGTCTTGATTGAGGGAACCATTGTGAGGCTAACAAGAAATCTGGCACTTAGAGAATTCCCAGGAATCCACAAGGATGATCCCAGCTAAGACCCTAATCAGTAGTGGTGAGGGTGCCCAAACTGGCCTTGCCCTGTAGTCAGATTGATGACTATCTATAAATGTCACCATAGAACCTTCATCCAGCACCTGATGGAGACACACATTGGTAGAGACCCACAGCAGAGGACTGGGCTGAGCTCCCAAAGTCCATTTGAAAAGTGGGAAGACTGGGAATATGAGCAAAGAGGTCAAGACCATGATAGGGACACCCACTGAAACAGCTTACCTGAGCTAACAGGAGCTCACCAACTCTGGCCAGACAGGGAAGGAACCAGCATAGAACCAAGCTAGACCCTCTGAATGTGGGTAACAGTTGTATGACTGGGGCAGACCAGATAATGTATTGAGAATGACATTTAAGGGGCTGGAGAGATGGCTCAACGGTTAAGAGCACCGGCTGCCTTTCCAGAGGACCCGGGTTCAAACAGTCCCTGCACTCACATGGCAGCTCACAACTGTCTGTAACTCAGTTTGGAATCTGACACTGTCACACCAATGTGCTTAAAGTTAAATAAATTATTAAAAAAAAGAATGACATTTAAGGCTGGGATGGTAGTAGTGTATGCCTTTAATTCTAGCACTCAGGAGGCAGAGGCAGGCAGATCTCTATGACTTCAAGGCCAGCCTGATCTACAAATGGAGTAAAGCTCCACAGAGAAACCCTGTCTCAAAAAGCAACCAAACCAAACCAACCAACCAACCAACCAACCAACCAACCAACCAACCAACCAACCAAATAAACAAACAAAATGGCATTTAAAAGAAACTAAAAGTCGTTGGAATCTTACAGCCCTGATTTGAGAATATGGCTGACTCTGACACGTATTGCGTTCTTACATTAGGCAAACTTCTTTCAGCCTTATGAGTTTCTTTGATATTTGTCTGATAGTGTTTCTAAACTAATTTTATTCCTAACTAAGCACAGAATATAAAAGTTGCATTTACAGGATTCTAAGTGATGTTTTTGTAGATGTATACATGGACTAATAGTTACACCAGGCTGGATATACCTATGCCCTTAAATACTTGTGCTTTATTCACGGTGAGAACTTTCACCATGAATATGTACTGTGTTGTGTGCTATCATTATCTATAGCTATCTTACGATGCAGGGGGACACCAGAATGTCTGGCTCCTGTCTGACCGTGACTCAGGCCCCAGTGATCTCCCTTCCTACCGATTCTTCCTGTCTGTTCTCCTGCGATGTTAGTCTTCACTGCCACACTGACTGGATTTAGAATACTCTAAAAGACATCCGTAGGGGTGTCCCCAGGGATGTGAGCTCGGGAGGATGACTCATCCCACATGCGAGTGTCTCCAGCACAGAGTCTGGGACTCAGACTGGAACAAGGGAGAAGGCAGAGGAGCGCCACCTTCGCTGGTCTCTGCTTCCTGACTGGGGAGAATGGAACCAGCTGTCGTGTGCCCCTGCCGCCATGACTTCCCCAAACTATGAGTCACGTGAAACAAATCAACCCTCCTTCCTTCCTAAGATGCAGGTGGTCATACTTTTGGTCGCAGTAATAATGGCATCGTACATCATCAAGGGCTCTGGTCACCGCTTCTCCAGCACCAACCTCTCATATTATCCTTGAGTTTATCTTTCTCTGCCTGGCTTACCTCACTTCGTGGAATGTCTTTAATTATATCCATGTCTTAAATGGTAGGATTTCGTTTCTCTGGTTTAACAGTATTTTGCATATAGATGGGCCATTTTCTTTATCTTTCCATCACTTGGAGGCTCCTTGTATCTCTTCACCCAGTTTCCTGAATAGTCCTGCCAATGCAAAAGTACAGATGTCTCTTCAACACATTGATTTGTTTCCTTTAGCTATAATAGTGATTGCTGGATCATGCGGTAGTTCTATTTTCCCCTTTAAAATTATTTTTATATGTATGGTTAATGTGTGTGTGTGTGTGCCTATGTGCTACTTGCATGCCTGGTGCCCTTGGAGGCCAGCAGAGAACATTGGATTATCAGGAACTACAGGTACAGATGGGTGTTAACCATCATGTGGGTTCTGGGAAATAAACTCAGATCCTTTGGAAGATCATCCAGCGCTCTTAACTGTTGATCCATCTTTCTAGCCCTGTTTTTCTCTTTCTTTGGAGCATCTTCCATTTTCTATAGTATGTATTTGAGTTGACATCAACACAAACAACATGTTTTGCACTTCATGGTCCTTAAGTGTCTGTGCTATGATCCACATGTCTTTCACTATTTCACCTGTAGGTGTTACCCTAAATCCTGCTCCAAAGAAACTTGATCTTTTCATAACAGGGAGCACCGAGTGAGGTCTGACACTGTTAGCACTAGAGGGTGTTCAAAGCTCAAATGTGTCACAAATATTGAATGAGTGTATTACTCATCCTGAGCTGGAAGAGCACCTAAAAAAGTAGCCCCGCCCTGCAGGCAGGTACTAGAAGGTTCTTCCTTGGGCTAGGTAAGCCCAGCTGCCACACTCTTAGTCACCCGGCCTGTTATAAGCCCTGTTGGGGAATGCCTAGCTCTTGGCAGAGTATCATAATCGAGGGAGTAGCCCAGGCCTCTGTGTCACAAGGGCGGCTCTCAGTGTTGTGTTGCCCTCTGATATTATAGCCTGCTCTTCCTACCGGGGAGCTGGGTTTGTGCCCCATGCGGCTATCAGTGGCCGCAGGGGATGCTATCTGAAACCTCGCCTCTTCTTTCGTCACAATGGCTCTTCTAGAGACTCCATCGACAGGTAGGCCCAGTGGTGGGGGCTGCCCCGTGTTAGGTTCCAGCGGTCTGGAAATAAACTCCAAGGTAAAGTCTTGTGTGTACCGCCCTTGCCTATCCGTCTTCACCCTCTGCTGCCAGAGGTTGGGGTAGTTTTGGTGAAAGCAGTCCCCTGCTACTAGCTGATGCTCAGCTGCGTTACACACGGACCTCCACCAGGACCTCACAGTCTCGGGCGGCATTTCACCCACACCATTGTTGGCTTGTGATCCAATCCAGAATTTCAGCCTGTCTCACTAGGGTGCAGGTTTCCGCCCAGTGCCAGAGTAGCTAGGGTCTCTGTCTGCAGGCACTGGCTCCTGGTTATCCCTGGCCAGGGAGATGCTGTCTGTCTTCTCCTGTTAATTCTTATTCATGGCTAGATATTAAGTGTTTGGGTCTTTGACGGGGACTTTAGAGATAAAGTTTCTTAGAACTTTATATTTGGAGCTTCATGTAGGCCTGAATATAAGAAGTATTCCCTCCAGAAGAATGTATGTCTGCCTGTCTGCGAGAGGCCTGAGGACACTGCCACCCAGAGTGACTTTGAATTCTGGGTCTGAGAGCTTTGTTGTGTCTCAGACCACCTTTGTGGCAGGAAAGTGGGGCCCGGGAAAAGAAACATCCACATTTACAAAACATTTTCAGGCCCTCCTGGCAGAAATACTGGTGACCTCCGCCCCTCAGGGCTACGTGTCAGGAACAGAGCATGCGCAAGGAAAGTGTGATGCCCAAGTGTGGGAGGAGTCAAGTGCTCCATCAGTGCGCCATGAAGGTTGAAGAGGCTGGGAGTCCGTGGATTCTGAGTCTTGGACCTGTCCTAACCCTCTAATCCATTCCTAGTTTTGAGAATGCCATTGTTTTTTATAAATAAACTGCCTCTATTTCTATATTATGCATGTGTTCTTTTGTTCTAGAGACACAAGAACCAGGGGATATAAGAGAGTGTACCCCTGGAACCAGACTCATGTCTAACAAACCCCACCAATATCATTTTGAGGCTAAAGTCCTATTGTGAAGGTGTTTTAAGACTTAAATAACATACATAGATCTAATCTACACGGGAAGTAGAAAAAGACAAGATCTCCTGAGTAAATTGGGCGAGGGTTGAAGGGGAGGCAACAGGCAGGGAGGGGAGCAGAGAAAAATGCAGAGCTCAATAAAAATAAAAAAATTAAAATGTTTAAGTAAAAATATAAAAAAGACTTATCACTAGTATTGGTTTTTTTAAAAAAAGACTTAAATGGTTAAACATTAATTTATCAAACAATAAATGCTTGTTGTTTTTGTTTTTCCTTTTCTTCAGTCAACATCAAGGTTTAGAATAATCAATTTTCATTGTCTGTCCTTGGAGAAGTTGGCTATGTTTACATTTACAGTGGGAGTTGTAGCCCTGCAGGGTATCACCTTAAACGTAGAAGGTGGGAATCTCATTATAATCCTTTCTACCTAGATTCTGGGATTCAGGTCCTGCCTTGAAGCATTGTTCTTCACAATGTCCTCTTATCTGACTGTTAACCCCATGGCATCAAGAGAATTTGTTTTTAATTCTTCGTGTATATGAATTTCCCCTCCCCTCACACACCTTCTCCCTGCCGGGCACACAGTTACTACCTT